ATATTAAATTCGTGTAAGTTCATTACTGAATTTATTGCACTCGTTGAATAAAATAATATTTTGCTCGCCAGAGGCTCGCATAATATAATTTTATTCAACTCGTGCAATAAATTCAGTATTGAACTTACACTCATTCAATATCCTCTATATATCCCATCAAACATTTGACGTTGTGGCGACGTTGTACTGACGTTGTATCCGAACGTCGGATCAAAGTTGGGTTTTGGTTGATTTTGAAAAGTTTTTCGACGTCAGTTTTTCGACGTTTTGTTGACGTCAGTTTTCCGATCATTTTTCAACGTAACTGCACCCGTATTTCATCGTCATTCCAACCACATTACAACGTAATTTCAACCATATTTCAACATCATTACACCTACTTTACGACCAAATTCCAACCACTTTCCAGCGTGAAACCAACCACCCTGCAACTAAAATCCAATCAATACTTTCATCAAAAGGCTGTCCGAACATTAAAATACCATATTGTGATACCTGCTACAAACATGAAGAAACACACAAGTACTGTGTCCGCTTTTATTTTCTTTAATAACGCAAGAGCACAGCATTCCATACATATCTGGTAGAGGAAGACCTCAAGTGTCCCCTTGTGCGTTATTTCAGGCACAAACGGGCTCTTTAATATCGTAAGCTTACTTGATAGTTTCCTCGCATAAAATAATCCGGAGACACTTGCGCGGCTCGAACGAGACAAGTTGTTAAAATTAAACGATCAAAACCACTCGGCCTCATACACCACTAGTAGTATTGTATAATTATAACTTGGACGACTGAAATATAATGAACAAAATCAGGGGGCCGAACGTATAGCGGTGCGATACTTTTTAAGCGAGGTGAAATGGTGCGATATGGAATAATGGCGGAGGAAAGTGACAAATAATGTGGGTAAGAACCAGTTTGCATAAAAAATTGCTGTATTTTGTAATTTTTGTTCGAATAATATATTGCAAGCTGAGCGGATGATATATTTGTATATGATGGTCAAAGTAAAAGAATCTATGTCATTGTACGGAGAAAGTTATTGGGGTATTTGCTACTTCAAATGCCACCACAACCTGACATGCTAATAACAAGAATACAATAATAGACGTTATGAAACATATATTTGATTAGTTATAGCAACAAGATTATTAATTTTGTATGCTTTTAAGTAGCTATCAACACTGTCAAAATTATCGGACCTTTTGTAGCGTACTGTCATCTTATCGCACCAAATCCCGACGTTCACCTAAATAGTTTGATAACAATACGTAAATATATATCTAAGCGCAAAAATATTTGCTATGCGGCTCAATAATGAGCATTTACATAAGGTGTAAGTAGAAATAGAAACTAACATTCACGATATTGGCTCTAATCTTATTACTTTGTCACGGACACAAAATCACTGACTGCCAAGTTACATTCAATAACCTTTTTACTATTGTACCTAAACTTCAATGATTTCCTCAGGTCAAAGCCCCAAATCATCCACACGAAATTTGATATTTTAATAGTCAATGACTGTTACATATTTATAAAATATACTCACTCTGAAGTCTATTTACAGTTTAAAATCCGCCATTTTTCCGTATCGCACCATTTCACCTCGCTTAAAAATTGAATTGCACCGCTATACGTTCGACCCATTGCTAATGCTAATTTGCAATAGAAAGAGCATCGAAAAACGAAGCCATATGATTTGTACGAGGGGGCTTTTGAACAGGATTTTATATGTATTGAGATGTTTTAGACATTATTAAAGGCTAAAATATTTTAAATACAGTTATGACAGAAACATGTGTTTTTTTCCGGACTTCTAAACTTACAGATTAGAAATAAATGAGTAGAGAACCGACCAAAATAGTCACTTGTTAAATCTGAAAAATATGCACATGTATTATACCTTCAATTCCTTTTTCAAATCAGAACACATGAAACTAAAACCGAAAGCTGATTAACGCTGCTTCAATGATATGGGATATTCAAATATGTAGAATAACATACAAACTTACTTACCTGGGCAAAACTTGAACGGCCGTTATAAATTTTCATTTTCTCGGTCGCCATTTTGTCAAGTGTGCAACCATTTCGTTCGCTTAAATCAAGTGTTCAACAATTTCGTTTGCTTTAACCAAGTGTGCAACCATTTTGTTCGCTTTAAACAAGTGTGCAACCATTTTGTTCGCTTTAACCAAGTGTGCAACCATTTTATTTGCTTTAAACAAGTGTGCAACCATTTCGTTCGCTTTAACCATGTGTGCAACCATTTCATTTGCTTTAACCAAGTGTGCAACCATTTCAAGTCCTGCTCGTTGAAAGTAGTAATAATAAAATAAAGCTATCGAATCTAAAATGATTACAGATATTTACCGAGCAACCTCGTTTTGGGAGACGAAGAATTTTGTTGTTGCTAAGAGGTATTGCTGTATTTCTAAAGAGGTTAAATTTACTGTGAAGTGATTCTGTTGTTATAATTAGTTTATTTCTCTAAAGAATTTCGCTCAGCAGAAGTTGCACTAAAGAAAGATATTTGTAAAACACTTTCTTACAAAGTTGGCATGATGACAGAAAGAACAGGATACGTGTATATATAAAAACCTTTTAAGATATATAATTAACTGCTAGCACATGCATGCAGCATCTCGTCTTATCTCGGTGAATTATAAAACAAGGCCCCTGCTGTTTTACAGTCAACAGGTATGGAAAGCCATGGCTGTCTTATATTAATATTTTTTAATTAATTTAACCATGTGGATTATATTTAAGTTTACTTCCACTATACATGAATTGAAAAGACCCTTTTATAAACCGGAAGCCATTATATTAATCCATAGTTACAATATATGAAACAATACCGTCAGTGCATGAAATCCAAGTAGCTATATATAAGTTAAGTTTCTCAATATATGATACCATTTCTTCAATATATGGTACCAAAGTAAATATATGTGGAACGAGATATCTTTATATGAATCCTTAATGTAGTCACTTGTCAAATCTAAAAAAATATGCATATGTATTATACCTTCAATACCTTTGTCAAATCAGAACACATGAAACTGAAACAGAAAGCTAGTTAACTCTGCTTTAATGATATGGGATATTCAAATATATAAAATAACATACAAACCTTCTTACCTGGGCAAAACTTGAACGACTGTTATAAATTTTCATTTTCTCGGCCGCCATTTTGACAAGTGTGCAACCATTTCGTTAGCTTTAAACAAGTGTGCGACCATTTCGTCGCTTTAGACAAGTGTGCAACCATTTCGTTCGCTTTAACCAAGTGTGCAACCATTTCAAGTCCTGCTATCGAATTTAAAATGATTACAGATATTTACCGAGCAACCTCGTTTTGGGTGACGAAGAATTTTGTTGTTGCTAAGAGGTATTGCTGTATTTCTAAAGAGGTAAAATTTACTGTGGCAGTGATTCTATTGTTATAATTAGTTTATTTCTCTAAAGAATTTCGCTCAGCAAAAGTTGCACTAAAGAAAGATATTTGTAAAACACTTTCTTACAAAGTTGGCATGATGACAGAAACAACAGGATACGTGTATATATAAAAACCTTTTAAGATATAAAATTAATTGCTAGCACATGCATGCAGCATCTCGTCTGATCTCGGTGAATTATAAAACAAGGCCCCTGCTGTTTTACAGTCAACAGGTATGGAAAGCCATGACTGTCTTATATTGTTATTTTTCAATTAATTTAACCATGTGGATTATATATAATAGAGAAGATAAGAATCCCTAAAGAAAGCCCAACACGGCAAAACTGAAACTGTTGCAAGCTCGGATTGATTGAGCCTGTTCATGGGCGGTACTGTCAAGTGCAAACTACCGTCCACGCCCCCTAGCACCGGCTTAAGCAGAATTCAACATTTAACATGAACTGGTACAATTTTGAATTTTGAAACATCCGCAGATGTGCTCATATGGCAGTTATCATGGAACCTTCAATGTGACACGCACTTGCTATTACATAAAAAGCGGCATATGGTCCCCAAGTAAAAAAATGCTTGTGCCCTAAACGAGAAAACAACAGTATTCAAGTGAGGAATACTTGAACCACCCAACAAGAAAAAAAGCCGAATAGAAAAAACTAAATTACCACAAGCACAACACTTATGTCGTGCTGAACGATCTTCAAGGATCGTAATTATAACAAATAAGTTCACTTCCACTATACATGAATTGAAAAGATCTTTTTATGACCCGGAAGTCATTATATTAATCCACAGTTAAAATATACCGTCAGTGCATGAAATCCAAGTAGCTTTATATAAATTCATTTTCTCAATATATGATACCAATTCTTCAATATATTGTACCAAAGTAGCTATATATATGGAACCAGATATCCTTATTTGAATCCTAAATGTTTGTATGTAGTTAATGCTTAATGAGGGTCCTACCGCCCTTTCGGGCACAAAATGCAGCTTTCGCTGTCGGGTACGGACCCCGGACATGTCACCAGTTATGCCCTTAAAGAGTTAATTTTGAAGCACAAAGTGGTGATAATTTACCTCCATGCAATTTCCACGTAGTATTAGCCAAAGATATGAATTTTGAGCCAAAAGTAGGTCACTGTCTACATATTACTTCAATTTATATTGAAATTATACTCTCGTGATTTCCAAAAAAAAGCGGTGTTAAACTGCCAATAAACACTGGTTATGGACTACAGAATCGAGCTAGAAAAGGGAAAGAAGAAATGGAAACCAATTTAGAGCAAGTGAAAAATCTAACTATTCAGTTAACAGAGCATACAGATCAATTAGAAAAACACTTTGAAAATCTAAGCGATCAGATTCATTTACAAAATGACCAGTTAACTAAAAGTTACTCGAAGCTAAAAATCGAAATGATAGGCAAAAGTGAAAGGGAGAAAAACTGGACAAGAAATCAAGTGGCAAAAACTTACGGGCCTAGTGAATGAACAAACTGATCTGCTACATCAGAACTTTTCAGAGATAAAAAATGAACTCAAAGATGGGAGAGAAGAATTTCGAAGCCAATTTAGAAATGATGAATGCAACACTTGATGACAAAATCCGAACAAAACTAAGCAAACTGGACGAAAAAATCACAAATAATGTTAAAGATATGAGGGAAGTGTCTGCAAAAATTGATGGCAAATTCCAAACAAAACTGAGCAAACTGGACGAAATAATCACAAATAATGTAAAAGATATGAACGAAGTGTCTGTAAAAAGTCACACCACGGAGAAGTTGATAAGTACCCAGCAGAAAGAAATAGAAGCTTTAAAAGAAACTCAAGTTAAACTTTTAAATGTTTTAATTTCTGCAAACTTAGTGAATTATAAATGTCTACCGAACTGGAAAACATATTAATCGTATTGTTATTTGTATGTTGATGAGTTTAAAACGTTCAGTGAAGCACGTGCCCATTGTAAGTGTCTAGGAGCAACCGTGTCTGACATTGAAAATGAAGCTGAGAATACTGGTATCGTGAGTTTTATTGGTAAACGGGGTGAGTGGATCGGTTATTTTGACGAGAAGGAGGAGGGTACTTGGATATCAGAAAGAACTGGTCAACTTGCATCATTCACGTAAGTATATTTGATATAAATCTGATCCCTCGAAAGCATTAATCACAAAATAATTACATGGAAATTACAAACTCAGTTTGATTGAGTCTTTACATGAGGGGTAATGAATAAGTGCATTATCCCTCACGGCCCCTAGCACCGGCTTTAGCAGTACTCAATCTTATTTATATTTAAATAACGAGTTGATTTTAATATTTGTTAATTATTTTACTTGTATTTTTTTCCTTTTACTGTGTTACTATTTTTTCCTTAGTAATGATTTTTCTTATAGATACATGTGTAGCAAAAAATATCTACGATATGATTAATGATATTAAATAGAGTCACGTTATAAATAGGGTACTTATAATGAAATTTCTTGCAGTCAGTCATAGACACGGTATATAAAGGTGACCGCTTATTATAACTCATACGTCACGTACATTAATATCGGTGTAGTTTCTGACGTCCTTACGATGACGGTATCTTTGGAAACTATTGAGTGAATTGTTTCTGTGACAACGAATAAAATAAAACATAACATGTCTACAGCATTCTGTAGATTTTATCTTTTAGTATATTTTTTACATAATGGACATATGCTCTTTTTGAAAAGACTGAAAATATCAAACAAAAGCCTTTTCATCATTACTAGTGATGACCTGTTTATCAAAACAATTAAGCATTAAATGTCAAACTGAATATGAACTTTATTTTGTCATTTAATACGTAATTGCACTCGGAAGTCGCGATATCGATTCATCGTCTACTCTCAGCGGTCGATACGAGAATATAAAACGATTCGAAGTTATGAAAATTGATTCCATAAAAGGAGTCCTTAGAAGTTATTAAATATTACTTTAGCATTTTAGCATACTAAATAAAATTTGATCCGAAATATGGCCGATAGAGTTTAAACAGGACTTTATACTTCTGAAAGGTTTAAAATTTGGCATGATGGCACTTAAATTGTTTTCTTGTGAATCATACACTAAATGGTCTACCTATAAAATGCACTGTTTCTATATTCACCTTTATTTTCTCAACTTTGCTAAACCATATGATAAAGAAATCACTTGTCATGTAGAAAATGTTGCCGGAAGCGACGATAGCTTCTAAGTTGAAAGTTCTGATCCATTTTCACATTGTATGTATTTGATAAGAAGTTTGTTCGTTTTGTGTATGTTCTGCAAAAAATAAGTTTAAACCTAGTTGTAAATACCATTCTATATACTAACACACGTGCTAGTTTGTTAGTGAATTTCATGACCAATATGCAACATCAAACTTGAAAATAAAAAAGAAAATTTATTTTTATAAAAGTAAATATTGTTTATATTTTCAGAAAGTTTCATACCGGTCAACCCGATGGAGGTACTCGTCAGAATTGTGTTGTGATCGATGGCTTTTCACGTGCATGGTATGACCGGCCATGTGACACAAGATACAGATTTCTTTGTAAAAAAGATGCCAAGATAGATTTTAAGTTGTGAACATCAGTATATACATGTATGTTTGATTTAAGGCTAATTGATCCTTTTGGTAATTAAAATGCTTGCTTTGTTTACATTATTGTACAATTTTAACTTGTATGTGTCAGTTTATATCATTGTAAAAGTTTAGGGTATTACCACCCTAACGGGCACTTTAAGGAACTGAAAAAATTATATCATAGGTCAGATATAGACCTTAAAGTACACCTGTATGCAAAATTTAAACAAACTTTACAGTACGGAAATCGAGTTATGGCCACTTTTATGAACTAAAGCTAGGGAGTATGAGGGCCCTTTTTCAGAAATGAGTAACCATTAAATAATCAGCAATAACATTCTAATGAAAAACATTTCCCCATTAATTTTTAGTAAGAAACAAAAAGTACTATTCAGCTAACAATCAACATAAACAAAATTATGGTTTCTACTCAAAATTTATAATATATGTATAAAAATGTTACCCTACCCCGACCATTTTTAACACGTGTTTGACCATTTTCCTACTTAGGGAGCCTAATTTTAAAAAAATCCTTCAAATTTTCCCAAATAAGTGCCTGATTTCAAAGTTAAAAAGTATATTGGTTCATCTTGTAAAATATTAAATACTTTTACCGTCTAGTTTTGATTTTATTACACTTTGAAAATATCAGTTACCATATTTATTACTAGATTTAGCATTATTTAGCCAATAAATAGCTATATAAATTAGATAATAAAAATTAAACACTTTTTTATCCACAATGGATGGAGAGATACATAAATAATGTTAAAAGAAAAAAAAAAGAAAGAGAAAAACGTTGACCCATCTGAGGTTTGAACCCATAGTCCTTAGTTTCATTGTAGTTAACAGTAGTTCTAGCCTATTTGAATACTCTTCAAAGCGGGAGGTAAGGCATTAGGATGGTAATACCTTAACTTGTATAACTATATCTTTGCATGTTCATTCATTTTCAGTCCATAATAATGTTCAATTATATTTCCCTTTGATTTGTGATGAGTAAATCTTTTTCATTTTCTACCGTTTATATTTTTAAAATCAACTAAAGTATTAAATAAAATGTACATGTATAAGTTTTATCAATAAATGAATATGGATGGTGAAATAGTGAAAATTCCATTTAACAAGGCCTGTGCTTCGCGTTTGTTTTCTCAGTGCTTTAATATTTAAGTTAAAGCGACGTAGAAAAGGGACATAATTCTGCTATTTAAATGCATTTAATTTTTCAGTTAAAAGAACCCATTTGTAACACGCTTTATAGGAATAAAGATATAAAATCAGGGTTTTGTTATGTGTTATTATTAAACTATAGTATGAAATACACTCATAATTTTTTTTTGTAAATTATTAATTTTTAACAACATACATATGATTGGCTTTATTCTCAATTGAAAAAGTTAATTATAAGCTTGCTCACTGCAGGATAAAAAAGTAATAATTATAATTTCGAAATTATTTGTGGACTTTGTCAAAGAAAAAAGAAATCGAGATATGAATCTCTTCGGTTTAGCTGAGATTCATTTTTCACGGCAAACTTGGTACAAGTTTTCATAATCAGGATGTCACGGAAATTATCCAAAAACTATTGTATGAAAATGTTTGCTCCATTTTGTATTGGATTTTGTTTTCACCCTTGTGAACCATCCATATTTTAAAGGTTTGCCTCGCAACACTGTAAAAGTAATAGCCTAATTAATAAGGCTTGAACTGCTTGACCCATTTAACATACTGTAGTTTCCCGAAAAATTTAAATTTGGCATGATGAAAGAGAAAACACAATATATTTATCAAACGAAACATATCAAACAAAACCAAAAAAACAACAAAAACACCTAGCATGTTTATATGCATTGATAAGCTTATCAAAAGCACCTGCATGCAGCATCTCGTCTTAACTCGGAATTATTGTTTGGCAAGCTTTTATATAAAGGATACAGCTAAACAACCAGCTGTTTTACAGTCAACATGTATGGAAAGCCATGGCTGTCTTATATTGTTCTTTTTCAATTAATTTAAACATGTGGATTATATATAAGTTCACTTCCACTATACATGAATTGAAAAGATCTTCTTATCAACCGGAAGTGCCACAGTTACAATATATGAAACCATACCGTCAGTGCATAAAACCCAAGTAGCTATATGTAGGTTAATTTTCTCAATATATGATACCATTTCTTCAATATGGTACCAAAGTAGCTATGTAGGGAACCAGATATCTATATATGAATCCGAAATATCTATAAATTAATTGAATTTATAATATAGGAAACCTTTATTTCAAGGTGAGGGAATTAAAGTAGCAATGAATAAGTTGATTACCACATTATATGATTCCAGTTCTTCTATAAATGGTACAAAAGTAGCAATGTAGTACACCAGATGTCTTAATATGGAACCGAATTATCAGTATATAAATTTACTTTTACAATGTATGAAAGCATTAACTCAATGCATTGAACCGAAGAAACAGTATATTATAGTTGATTTTTACATTGCACTAATAGCAAGTTTTCATTACATTGTACATGGAATTAAAGTAGCCATCAGATGTACTTATATGAAAATGAACTATCAATATAATTATTTTATTATATACTTATAAATGAAATATTGAGAAATATTGATGAATTTAAATGCGTATTTATATTTTTCTTATTTTCACTGTAAAAATTTATTTTTCACTGCAGTGAAATATATTTTCCGTATTTTCACTGGTATCTTGCCGGATAACTTTCTTGTTAAATCAGTCAATGCACAAAATTAAAAGGGAATTCTTCCTATTCATGAGGTTAAAAAAGACAAAAAGTATATAATAAACAGAAATTCAAGATTTTTTTCTATTAATACATGATTCATTTTCATCTTGCGGTATGAAAATTTTCATATTTCACTTGTGGCCACTCGTGAAATATTTATTTTCATATCACTCGATGAAAATAAATCCTGTATTTATAGAAGAAACTTGAATATCATCTATATATTAATTCAATTACAATTTACGAAAGCATTACAGTAGTATAGGGGTCTCTTTGGCATCACGACTGCGCATGCGCGACGCCATATTGGATTCTATATTTAGAATGACATCATCGTTCTTTTTTTAGAATGTGATCATGCGTCTATTTTAAGAAATCTATTTTTAATATCCCGGATGTATACGGAGCTGACTCGTATACCCGATCTTAGGGCTTGAATCGCGGACATTGTAGGTCAGGTCCTCGCCACGAAAAGATAATTAATTATGGGAAAAAAAGAAAATTTTTTAAATAGATAGTCTTAAAATTTATAAAAATTTT